TCACTAGCCTGGAATCTCTCCCTAAAAATAACCTTTCAACATATCATTCCTATCACCAGGCCTGTAGATACAGGAGGGCAATGATAACATGGATTGCCCCCCTGTAAAAATCCTGGCAACCAACCAAACAGTGGTGGAGCCAGGTTCATTAACTGCTTCCAATGTTTGACCAATATGTTGTTTGGATTTCAGGTTTCATTTTGCGGTTCAGATTGTTAGTACTTGTTTATTTATTCTAAAAAGAAAAGAAAATAGCCAATCTTACCAATGGGTATGAAGATTGGAGGTTGGAAAACGACCGATGGATTCCTGTTCATTTCCTCGACCAATCCAATACTGTACCACAAGATTTCTCTCCAACCAATCCTTCACTTTATCTAGAGTACATCGAGCATCACTTATTTCCGCTACAGTCTCTAATTCTGATTGGTTGATTACTGCTAACTCCTCCTCTTCTGACTCCTCCTCCTCCTCATCCTATCGAATTAAACGTTACAAATTAAACAAAATTACACATATTTAATGATACACTCTTAGTTTATAATCACTAAAACTAAGTGTTTGATGAAGACACTTATCGCTAGGGGCCTTATGTGATAAAACATATTTTGAGATTAGTGACATCATCAATACCACAGACCTCTGGTGGAAAATTTAATAGCACAATATTGATGATATCAGTGTCCGAAATACACATAAAAAATCAGGAAAACCTCTTTACAATCCTTTAAGAAACTTACGGAGGTATCTGAGAAGTAATAACGTCTTGTGTCAACCCCCTCTAATAAATATTCTCCCCAATTAAACTCTTCTTCTTCACTCTCTATATAATATACAATATTAATCTTCAATAAGTTCACATTTTCAACCCAATTTCCCTCTGTCAGTGAGGCATGTAAGAGGGCTGACATGGAAAAAGCGCCTAGTTGTTCGGATGGGACAATAAACCACGGCCCAGTCTACAGGCTGTACACGTTAAAGATCCCTTGACAGTGTTGAAAATAGAAAAAGAGCAGGCTACTGCCGCTGTCCTGGCAAAATTTCCTTCATTGCACTCGCGTTGCCAGTCTTCATTAGCCCACATGGTGCAGAAAAGTAGGATGTAAAACTCCTTTAATTTCATTGCATTTAAAGTATATTTAGCTATAAACTAACCTTCTGTAACTTGTTTTTTTTCTGTAAAAACTGTTTCTGTAGGACAATCAGAGAGATCTAACAGTACAGACAAGACACTGTAATGTGCATCAGTCTACAAAATATTATCATTCATTAAGTTCAACAAATTATAAAGTGGGTGTCAGTAAACAGACCATGTTTACTCTGTTGGAAACACCTGAAGATACTTTGCCTTTGAGGATTAACTGCTATCAATTGTTTTAGATTTCGGGTTTTGTTTTGCAGTTCGGATTGTTAGTACTTGGTTTACTTATACAATTATTGCTCCAGATTTTGTCATGCTTTGGGCCAGATTTTTG